GACCTGCGCTTCAGGTTGCCGAGGCCCGTGGGCCGCGCTCAGCACGATGCCCCCGGCGCTGCTCCTGCGGCTGCTGCTGGCGGTCTCCGCAGCGGCGGCCAGCGAGCCCGGGACGGCGCTGGCCCCTGCCACGGGCGACGCCACCCTGGCCATCGTCTTCGATGTCACCGGCTCCATGTGGGACGACCTGGTGCAGGTGATGGACGGCGCCTCGCGCATCCTGGAGCGCAGCCTGAGCCACCGCAGCCGGGCCATCGCCAACTATGCGCTGGTGCCCTTCCACGACCCAGGTAGCGCCCCCACGGGTGCCCTCCCCTGACCCAGAGGCGCCCACCGCGCCCCGTCCGCGCCCTGTGGCAGCGCTTCATCGCCCGCCCGCCCGCCGGTGGTTGCAGGCGCACCTGGACGCCCAGGGCTGCGCACAGGCGGGGCGCCTTCTCAGCACTGCGCAGCCCACCCGGGCACCGGGGCAGGCCCGACACCGCCCCGTCCCGGTCCCGCGCCTTGCGAGGTCAGGCGACTGGCAGAGAACTGGGGGGCGCTGCGTTCAAGTGCTGCGCAGCCACCTCCTGGCTGTGCGACTTGGGCAAGTGACCCCACCTTCCCGAGACTCACTTTCCCCGGTGGTGACACGGGGTGAGAACTGCCCCCAAAACTGCTGAGCCGTTGAAAGGAGGCATCGTGGCCGAGCCTGGCACACGACGAGCCTTTGCGTTTTCACTTCTGTTAATTCTTAGGATTCGCGCTCAGCCCGGGCTGGGAGGCCAGGAGAGCCGCTAGGCCAGGTGAACTCACTCCTGCCCGGCTGGCCGGTCACCTGTTTCCCAGGGAAAACAGCAGCTCCCGCGGGCCAGGTCGCCTCACTCACAGCCCTGCTCCCACGGCCTGGTCCCCACGCCCCAACACCTGTCCCCTCCAGCCCCTAACTCTCAGCTCAGTGTTGGGTCACGCGTTTGACAAGGGCCCCTGGGAGACCCCACTGTGGGGCCTTTCGGGAGAAACAGCTGAGGATGGTTCCCCACGTTCCTCTGAGCGCGAGGACGGCTTCCCCCCAGCATTTCTCAATTAAAAAATTCGGACTAACAGCACCGCGGGGGAGGGGAGCACGCGGAGCACCTGCCTGCCCACCTGCTGACCCTCGTTACTGTTTCACTGTTTGCTTTATCTCGTTGCGCCATCGACCCACCCACCTTTCTATCAGAGGGTCGCTTTAGAAAGCCAAACTGAACAATTCAGCTTGCAAAATTGTACTGCAAAGTGTTCTTGTGCCGAGAACCCCACAGCGCCCAGGCTGTGAGGCAGTCAGGCCTGTGGGAAGAGTTTGCCCCCGTCACTCAGCATTACTCCGGATTCTGGAAGGATGGGCAGCGGTGGGTGTGACCCGGCCCTGTAGTCCTCGGCTGAGGGTGAAGGTCCCTCCGCTTCCAGGAGCTCCGGTTCCGGAGGGTCCCGAAGCCCAAAGCCCAGAGCCAGGGAGCCAGGAAGATATTTCTGGGAGCATCCAAAGCACAGCTCCCCCCTCAGGGGCAGGGGCAGTCAGGTGGGGGAGCTGGGAAGATGTGAGGTGTGTCCTGGGCCTTCTGCTCAGACACAGGTCACCCCTCCCCCCCAACTCTCTCCCTTCTGGATCATTCTTGGGCTTCCAATGCCACCCCCTTCTCTTACACTTGGAGAAACTGAGGCTCAGGACATGGATGGGACTTACCCCAGGCCACCTGCCAGGGTGATGTAATTTGTCCCTAAAATGCTGGGCTGCAGTTGCAGGGCAGGGGAGCAGCCTGTTGGACCCCGACCTGGCGTCCCGGCTGGGGCTCCCTCGGGCTGTCCTCACCGCCCCCTCTCTGGTCATCGGCTTCCCTAAGCCCCCTTCCAGCCCCTCCTCTCCTGTCCTCCTGGGTGCTGAGCGGGTGCAGGACTCTCCAGCCTTCACCCCATCCCTGTGAAGCAGGGAACCAGCCCTCCTCCCTCCAGACAGGCACCCCCAGGTCCAGGCATGTGTTTATGGAGCCCCTGCTGTGTGCACAGCCTTGTGAGCCTCCCAGGGTGAAGGGGCAGGAGCCAGTGGCTGCTGGAGACGGGACAGACTGAGAGGAGAAAGTGGCCGGCGCTGGTGCAGGTGCACTGAGGGCTCCAAGCATTTCCCTGGCCGATGCCAGGCGCTGGGGACCTGGGGAAGCCGTGTGCTTCCTGAGCTCGCTGGGTGGCGGCTGGCATGTGGGGACCGGTGTGTGGGAGGAGGGCTGAAATGGGAACGCGGGAGAGGCCAGATGGGTCTGGGCTCTGACTTCGGGACTGAGGATCTGGAGCGCGTAGATTTCCTTCTATGGGCTGTGAGCTGCCACTGCAGGTTCCGAGCAGGGATTGGAGCTGTGGTGTAGGTTTAGCTGTGTCTTTTGAATCAGCCAATGGCATCCCTTTGGTGGAAGGGGAGCTGGAGAAATGGGGGTTTTAGCTGATTCTGCCCCCCCCCCCCGGGCTGCGTGCCTGCAGGAGCCTCTTCAAGGAAAGCCCCATCCTAACCCCCAGGACCTGCCTCTGCGGGGCAGGTGTCAGAGGTTCTGGGCTGCTCTCGCGCGGAGATAAACCAGGACCTGCGCTTTGGCAAGGCGTTTTCAAGTGTTTAAATGAGAAAAGTGGAAGGTTCCCAAACTAGCGAGTTAGAATTTTGCTAATGGTTTCATTTTGGCTGAAAACTTGATTGTTTTCAGTGTTTCCCTATTAAAATACTGCAGAAGCACCTCGTCTTTTGTCTGCATCTTTGATTTTTTTTTTTTTTTTTAGGATTAAGTTTCTCCAAGTGGAATTCTTAGGACATTTTTAGCACACGGAGTAGGTGGACGATCCTTCAAATTGTTTTACAAAATGTTTTGAGAGTTTAAACGTCTACCAGAAGCATTTGAGGGGCTGTTGCAGAGAAGCTGTGCCTACCACTGGGAATTAGGATAAAAACATCCCCCCCCCCCCAATTCAAAAGATGGAAAATGTCATCTTCTTGCTTCCATTGCTAGTGAGGTTCAGTGTGTTTTCACGGTTCATGCGATTGTTTTTGGTGTGAGTCTCTTTTGTAAATGTGGGTTCCTTTTTCCACTGGGTTTTTAGTGGTTTTCTCATCCGTTGAGAGGAGGACGTGATATTGATGATATTAACTGGATTTTGTTATGTGGTTAGTATTTTTCCTGGTTGGTGGCTTTTTGCATTGTTCGTCATTCCTAATGTTCTGAAGTTTAAATGTTTATGTTTTAAGTCTTAAATACAGTGGAATCTGCAGACGTATCCCTTTGTAATTTCTTGACTTTCATGCTTACAAAATACTTTTTTTTCCCTATCACAAAATCAGTTAGGTACATGGTCTAAGCTTTTTCATTTATTTTCTCTTTTTCTTGTTGTATTTAATTCTTTAACCTGAAATTTAAAAAAAACTGATGCATGGTGTAAAAAATAATCTACTGTAATTGTTTTAGAATGGAATAATTAATTGGTTAGATACATTCGGTTGAATAATCCTTTCTTTTTTATTCATTTGGATCCTGCCTTTATCTCAGATTACTTTATTAAGAATTTGTTAATGATTATTTTTTTTTTATCCTCTCCCCTAGGATATGCTTTTTTTTTTTTTTTAATTTTAGAGAGGGAAGAAGGGGGAGAGAGAGAAACAGCGATGTGAGAGACAAACATCAATCAGTTGCCTCCCGTGTGTGCCTTGACCAGAAATCAAACAGCAGCCTCTCTGGTGCCTGGGACGAGGCTCCAACAACAGAGCCACCTGCCAGGACCTCTGATAAGCATTGCCCTGGGCTTCCCGTCCTGTCCCCTTGGGTGGCAGTTCTCCTGGGAGCACATCATTGTCACCATTTGGCTTCATCCTGTCTACTAAGCGGGCACACCCTTCCTTGTATTCTTTTTTCTTAAAATAAAATTCATGCCCTAGCCGGTTTGGTTCAGTGGATAGAGCGTCAGCCTGCGGACTCAAAGGTCCCAGGTTCGATTCCGGTCAAGGGCATGTACCTTGGTTGCGGGCACATACCCAGTAGGAAGTGTGCAGGAGACAGCTGATCGATGTTTCTCTCTCATCGATGTTTCCAACTCTCTATCCCTCTCCCTTCCTCTTTGTAAAAAATCAATAAAATATATATTTAAAAAAAAACTCACCCCCCCACCCCCAGCTTTATTGAGGTGTAATTGATACATTCTCTTGGGCTTGTTCACAGTGTAGAAGTGTTGACTCGATAGACTTGTAAATCGCAAAATGATTAAGTAGCGTTAGCTAATACCTTCATCCGTCACTTAATTATTTCTTTTTTTTGCAGCGAGAACATTTAAGATCTGCTCTCTTGGCAACAGTCATGATGTGACACGGTCTTACTGACTACAATCACACGCTGTACGCTAGAGCCCCAGAACGTACCCATCTTATCATTGGACGTTCGTCCCCCTTGCTAGCAGCTCCCCGTGTCTCCCCGTCCCCCAGCCCCTGGTAAACACCCGGGCTGTGTCTATGAATTAGGCTTTTTTTAGATTCCACATAGAAGGGAGACCATAGAGTATTTGTCTTTCTCTGTCTACTTATTTCACTTGGCACAGTGCCCTCCACGTTGGCACAGACAGGAGTTCCTTCTCCTAGCTTCATCTATTCATCAGTGGGCAGTTAAAAAATTTTCATCAACTCTAAATTTTAGAACAGCCGTAGATTTATAGAATTATTGCAAAGACAGTACAGAAAGTTCCCAGTTACCCCACAACCAGTTTCCCCCGTTATTAACATCTTATGTTGGGCATTTATCACAATGAAAGGGTCGATAAAGATACGTTTTTTTAGTAACTAAAGCCCGTTCTCTATCCACATGTCTTCAGTTTTTCCTTAATGTCGTTTTTCTGTCCCAGAATCCCACCCAGGGTCCCACGTTATGTTACGTTCTCATGTCCCCTTAGGCTCCTCTTGGTTGTGACAGTTCCTCAGACCTTGCTTTTGACGAGCTTGACCAGTGTTGCTCTGATGGTTGGTCCCTGAGCTGTGGTTTGTCCAATGTTTTTCTCCAGGCAGACTGGGCAGTGGGAGGAACATTCTCATCACATCATATTGAGGGCACGTGCTCTCAAGATGACTTCTCACTGTTGATGTTGACCTTGATCACCTGGCTGAGGTTGGCAGGTGTCTCTGCTGTGAAGTTACTTTATTTTTTTTCTTCCCTTTCCATACTGTCCTCTTGGGAGGGCAGCCCCTATGTGAGCAGGGGATGGAGCACGTATATAAGTCATGTGGATTCTTCTGTATGAGAGACTTCTCCCTTCT